TAGTCTAGAAATCACCTCCAGTGCTCACCTAACTTATTTCCCTTCTCTCAGGAATCACAGTTCTGTGCTTCCTGTTATCTAATATCTGGGAAAGAAAAATATTTCATATATTTTGCCTAGTTTTCTGTTATAGGAGGGAAATCCCATCACTTCTTCATTGGTGAGAGCAGAAATCCTGGACTGGCTGACTTCTTGTCACTTGACCTGTCATGGGCTAGGAAAGGTGGCTCAAAGTCTACTACCCTGAAACCATTGCCCTGAGATGATCTTGAAACCTTAAACCCAAAATATCCTCTGAAGTCTTCTTAAAACCAAATCATAGTTCAGCTCAACCAGTAAAGAAGGCCTACCTTGAGCATTGGACCCCTTTAAGGTCTGCGTGTAGGGGATCAAAGTGACAACAGCAATTTGAAAGATTAGATAGGAACGCTGTGGGGCAGTGAGTTGGTGTTAATGGGAAGAACAACTCAGAAAAGAAGGGTGAGGATGATGACATAACTTGAAGAATGCAGTCAATGTCACTGGAAACAATGGAGAACCTGTTGAATTGGTGTATGTTCTGTTGTGTATATTCTCCACAACAGCAAATAAATCATATTAAAAAGGATGTCTTTTACTACTATCATACTATTTTCTCTTTTCATTTAGAATTTTATTTCAAAATTTACAATTTAGAAGTGTTTGTTACTTATTTTACCAATATTCATAACTGTTTTATGTTCATTGCATTTATACCATTCAGTGTTACAAAGTGACCTTCTCAGTCTGATTTGGTTCTCTTTGACTTTAATATCTCCTAACTAATGCCAATGCCATGTGTCCTACTTTGAATTTGTATGTCCTTGTGTCTTTTCATCCATCCTTTTATTTTTTCAAAATTCTTGAATTACTTTTTGTTACATGTGTTTCTTATATACAGAATAAATTGAGTTTGGTTTGAGACACTGTCTGAAACTCATTTTTAAAGGAAACGTTTAGTATGAGATCGCTTATACAATTTTGCGTTTTCTAGTTTAATATATATTTTTCTAACCTTTAATTAGATGGTTGGTTTTCTTTGTTTCAAAAACTAAAACCAAACTCACTCCCAACCAGTCAGATCTGACTCACAGTGACCCCTCCTTGGGTTTCTGAAGTGGATCACTATGGAAGTAGATTGTCCAGTCTTTCTTCCAAGGAGTGGCTGGTGGGTTTGAACTGCTACCCTTCTGATTAACAGTCAAATGCCTCGGGCACCATACCACTGTGTATAATCTTCAGATATTCAGGAAGGTTTGAGTTATTGTTCCTGTGGTTATTTTTATTACAAATTTATATAAATAGTGCTCTACTTCCTTAGATAGATCCATTAGTCTCGTAATATGAATAAGGATTAAAATGATCACAGTTCGCTTCCTTCCTTCTCCCTTCCCTCTCCTCCAGCTTCCCATTATCTTGCGTGTGGTACAGCTTTATGCTGCTGAATATACTTACAATTCCATTATTTGATTTGGTGTTTTTTCATGTTCTTTATTGGTTTTGAATAGATATTACAGACATTAATGTAGTGTTGTTGTTATGTGCCGTCGAATTGTATCCGACTCATAGTGACCTTATGTACAACAGAACAAAACACTGCCGAGTCCTGTGCTGGCCTCACAATCCCTGCTATACCTGAGCCCTTCGCTGCAGCCACCTTGTCGATCCATCTTATTGAGGACCTTCCCCTCTTTCTTTGACGCTCCACTTTAACAAACATGACATCCTTCTCCAGTGAGTGATCCCTTCTGACAACATGACCAAAGTAGGTGAACAGATATTGTTGTTGTTGTTATGTGCTGTGGAGTTGGACTGACTTACAGTGACTCCTACTTGGGTTTCTGAGGCAGTATCACTACGGAAGGAGATTGCCCAACCTTCCTTCTGAGGAGTGGCTGGTGGGTTTGAACCACCAGCCTTCTGATTAACAGTCAAGTGCCTTAGGCACTATGCTACCAGAGCTCCTGAACAGATATTAAGAGATGTTATATTGATTAGATATTGAGATAAGACAATCTGTAACCTTACTGTTCTTCCCGTCTACTTCACCTATACCTGGTACTCTCATATGTTTTATAAGCTACATCATTTCCACACTATCCAGGCATATAATAACTAAAATCAGATTGGTTATTCTAACCTCACACTTATTTTTGTCTTTTTCATCTTAATTATAAAGGTGTGTAAATACCAGGTGCTCACAGACAAGTCTTTTTCCTGTGGCTTCTTGGCCAATTGTTTCTTCGTTGGCTGGTTATAATAGGGTTTTGTTGCAAAATTTCCTAGCGAGTATTCTTCATTTGGTTTTGCTGCTGTTTTCTACGTAACTTGATTTTGAAACACTGTAACATGTTTTAGACATGAAACGTTAATTGACTGTGTAATGAATAATAACCACACAAATCTTGAAGTAGAACATTCTACCTTTTTCCTCATAACCTTCTTTCATTAATGTTTTGCGTGTTTCCTCTATGCTACTTATTTTATTTTTTATATTTTTATTGTGATTTGGGTGAAATTTTACAGAGCACATTCATTTTCCATATAGCAGTTCATACACATTTTGTCTCACAACATTGACTGCAATTCCCCCCAAGGGAACGAGACTCTTCCCACTTCCTCCCTGTAGTTAATGTTCCCTGTGTCCTTCCCTCCCATGCACTCTTGCCTCCCAAGCTGTCTCCCTGTGCAAACACTGCCCTTCTGTTCTCCCACGATTGATCACTCCAAGTCATGTGCGAAAAAGAACATGGAGGCGGCATCTTTTGACCTCCTCTAACTTCAAAAGAGGGAGATAGAATCACCATCAGCAACCCAAGGCTTATTCCTATGAGGCCAGACATGCCACCACCCTCTAGCCTTTTTACCAATTCTGACACCAACTGTCCATCCCACGGTACTCACTACATCTCTGCTGAGTTTGATAATGCGTTGCAGTGGCCACACAGAGCTCACAGACAGTACTCACAATTATGGGGTTTATTAGGGAAGTAACAGGCACAATTCAGGTTCGGGAACCTGCTCAGGATGCAGTTCTTCAATCAGGACAGTGTCCGCTCTGCTGTGCCCTCAGACACTCCTCTCTGAGCCCTGGCCTCTGCCTCTGTGGCCAGGTGAGCCTGCTGCTCTGTCTCGTGCCTCTTCATTCCACTACCACCATCTCTTCGCTGGAGCGTCTTCAGACAAGGAGGTTTAGAGCAGGGATCCTGGGTCCAAGGATGCACTCCATTCACCTCCAGCTCTTCTCTCTTGGTGGCAGCGAGATCCCCTCTCTGCCTCTAGGAGGGCTCATTTTAAGCCTGGCAGAGTGACAAAACTAACCAATCCCAACATCAGAGTTCTACCACCTTATTTGCCTGGTCCTCTGGTAGTGTAGTGCCTGAGGCACTTGACTGCTAACCAGAAGGCTGGTGGTTCAAACCCACCATCCACTCCTCAAAAGGAAGGTGGGGCAATCTACTGCAGCAATACTGCCTCAGAAACCCAAGAAGCGCTCACTATGAGTCGGATCCAATTCAATGGCAGTGACTTTGGTTTTGCTTCTGACCCAGCAGTTTGGTGGGAGTTAGAAAGACTAGGCTAGAAAAGCTGTACCAAGTAATTCACTGCACCACAGGCCACCGCCTGGCTTTTCTAGCCATCGTCCCTTTTATACGTCAAAAATTAACATCCCCTTGACAATCAGTTTAAGAATAACCACACTCATGAATGCATGTAAGCCAGCCACTTCATGCCTTTATGTCCCCCCGTTTTAGAGAGCCAATTTCCAATTTTCCCATCCCTATCAAACCAACAGGAAGATGGGGCAATCTACTTCTGCAGTGATACTGCCTCGGAAACCCAAGGAGGGGTCGCTATGAGTCAGGTCCGACTCGATGGCACATAATAACAACATCAAACCAACACTCTGAGGAAACAAGCATGTTCCTTTCTCTCTGAAGAATCTTCTGTTCTGCTTGGAACTTTGAGCATCTGCATCCCTAAGCAAAGTCCAGCCCAACACAAGCCATCAAATTGCAGCAACTTAACACCAGCTCAGTGTCAAACATCTTCCTCTTTCTTTGGTCATGTTCTGGTCAGCTCAGCCCTAGCCATCCCAGCTTGGTCATGGGTACCAGCTGCAAGTTTGGGAGTCACACTCTTCCCTTCACTTCAGACCAGCCAGCACCTTCTCTCATCCCTGGCCTTCAGAGACTAGTTCAGTGCCCGTGTGCTTAGGAGTCCAAACAACTTGTGCTTTAGGCCAGCCAGCCCTTCCTCTCATCCATAGCCTCCATGGCCTAGGTCAAAGAATGAAGAAATGGGTTGAGTTTGGTACTCTTTGACCTAGGCCATGGAGGCTACGGATGAGAGGAAGGGCATTTCCCCTCTTCAGGTGGACCCAGGTGGCTGCAAGCAAGCAGCATACAGGGCCATCTACTCACCAGCTTCCTTTAACTTCCAGTCCTGGAAGGGGTTTCTCTCATGGGCCATGACTTTCCTGCCTCAAACACCCAAAGCCAAACTGCTTGCTCGAAATTTTTAAAAAGTCAGTCATTTTTTCCTCTCTGCAGATCCTGTCTTCAAATGCAGATCTTGTGTTCTCTCGGTAGTTCTGGGTGGGTCTTTTCAAATACAAATCTCCTCTCTCAGAAGGTTCTGGGTAGGTTCAGGTTTTCCACTTAAGCCCCCTATACTCTCCACACAGGCCTTGAAATAAAAGCCTGTTTCTTCTGGCCAAATTCTATTTCCCCTTTTAATATATCCAATCAAGTATCGGCTGAAGGTGGACTTACACGCTCTCTGTTATCCATGCCCAATAATACAAGTAAACTAAACTCACTGCCCTCAAGTCGGATTCAACTCATAGCAACCCCTCTTTGGGTTTCCAAGGCAATATCTCTATGGAAGTGATTGCCCAGTCTTCCTTCTGAGGAGTGGCTGGTGGGTTTGAACCGCCAGACTTCTAGTTAGCAGTCAAATGCCTTAAGCACTCCACCACTAGAGATCCCTCTTTGCCTCTAAGAGGGCTCATTTTAAGCCAGAGTTCTACACACCTTATTTGTATGGTCATCCCACCCAGTAATCTGGTGGGAGTTATAAAGACAGCATAACGTACCTACCTAATGTAAATGTTCAGCCTGTCCATTATTCCTCTATGTTATTCTTCATTGAATTAGTTAGATTATTTTGTCCCAGCTGTTTGCAGAGGTTCCTTCAAGGAATGTACTTTGGCTAATGTTTCCCAAGATCTGCTGTGCTGACCAGCCTGGTATTTGTTGCAAATCACGGAGCTTTCACTACCATTTATCCTGCTGCATAGCTTGTGTGCTGACCTCTGCTTGGAATCCCTCAGTAGCTTTCTCCATCTTTGGATTTCTTATCTCCTAGTTTCCCTGAACCTGGCTTTGGGATTTTCTCTGTTTCCATAGCTGATTTCATACAATGTCCAGAAGGAATTTCTGTTTTACAACACTATGTTCATTGTGAAAGTTTCCCTTCCCTTCCGACAGAGATTATGATTTTTCTCTCTCCTTTTTGAATACACATCTGGACACTCTAACCAAACAGTACCTTCCTATGCAGCAGTTTTCTTTCCCTTTTTAGTTAATTGCAATATTGTGCTCATCTGTGTGATCTCCCCACTCTCAGTCCATCTCACCAAGTCATCCCTATACACAATCCAGACCAGACATGACTGTCACTCTCCTAGCTGGTCCAACTTGATCACAGGTTTACCTATAGTTTCCTTCAGTCCATGCTCTAAATATACCAGTGTGTACATTTAGTCTTTAGGAAAAGGTATAAGGCTTAAGTATTTTAATGAGACATAACTTTTTCGAGAGAAAGCAATAACTGGTTTTCAACTATGTGGGTCCACTATCTGAACGAGGCAAGAAATTTGAACTCTGAAATTTCTAAATCAACCAGGACCACAGACCACCAATTTATATTTGAGAATTTTTTTAAAAAACGAGAAGAACATCTGAAGAAATCATTCCTAATCGTGAGATAGCACTAACCCTTCAAATAGAATGTAATTGGTAAATTTTACAGCAGGTCAAGCAATATTGTTGTTAGGTGCCATTGAGTCGGCTCCAACTCATAGCGACCTTGTGTACAACAGAACAAAACATGGCCCAGTACTGCACCAGCCTCACTATGCCTGAGCCCATCATGGCAGCCACTGTTTCAATCCATCTCATTGAGGGCCTTCCCCTTTTTCACTGACCCTCCACTTTACCAAGCATGACATCCTTCTCCAGGGAATGGTCCCTACTGACAAAATGACCAAAGTAGGTGAGATGAAGTCTGGCCCTTCTTGCTTCCAAAGAGCATTCTGGCTGCACTTCGTCCAGGACAGATTTGTTAGTTATTCTGGCAGCTCATGGTACTTTTAGTATTCTTCACCAACACCACAACTCAAAAGCATCAACTCTTCTTTAACAATAGTTGAAGTTTAGCAATAATTGAAGAGAATTAATAAAATTCTATTATAATTTCAAATTACTTGTTAGGCTCATTATTTAAGCAATACTGGAAAAGGGATAATGAAGTAAATGTGAAAAGCCAGTCCTTAATTCCCAGTGGTGTTAGTATAATCACTCATTGGACTCTTAGGACTTTCAATGTACACATCTCTCAAACGGTTTAGATGCATGTGAAACTACGTTTAATAATCACATTCATGTGCTCCTTGTGATTGATTGATTGATTTGTTGATTCATATATCTTTGGAGATTATGAGATGAGAAAAATGTCACAATTGTGAAAAAGAAGCCCTTGTTGCCAGTGACAAAATAGTTTAGCTATATGGCAAATATTTTTGGTGATGAAGAAGAACAGAGTAGGAAGCCTCATACTTCCCAATCTCAAAACTTAACTATGTAACCACAGTTATCAAAATAATCTGTTACTGATTCAAAGACAAACACATAGACCAGTGGAATAGAATTGAGAACTCAAAAGAAAATCCATCCATCTGTGGCTATCTGATCTTCAACAAAGGGTTGAAGTCTTTTCAATGGGAAAGAAACAGTCTTTGTAACAAATGGTGCTAGCAAAATTGGATATCCATTTGCAGAAAAAGGAAGTAAGAGTCATACCTCAGCATATGCAAAAACTAATTCAAAATGCATCAAAGACCTAACTGTCAAAGCTAAAACTGTAAAGTTCCTAGAAGATAACATAGGAACAAAACTAGGGGACCTGGACTTCTGGTAAGATGGCAGAATAGGCAGACAAGCTCCACAGACCCTCTTCAACAAAGAAAAGAGAAACCAATGGACAGTGATACAAAAGATAATCCTGGAGCCCTGAGTTTTGAAAGGAAGTATACAGAAGTGGATTAGGCACCAACTAGTGGAAAAACCTGAACAAAAACAATAAGTATGGAGACAAACAGAGCTGTGGACTGTCAGCTACGCTGATGGGGCCAACAGCCTGAATGTTTCCAAGTGGTGTGGGGACCTGAGAATTGTCGTAAAGATCAGCCCTGGTCACCAAGGGCTGCAGGGACGACTGCACTGGTGGACTCTGACTAGGAAGGGAAACAGCAAGGAGGGAGACAACCTGAGCTGTGGACTTTTGGCTATCCGGAGGGCGCAGCCATTTTGATTGTTTACAAGCAGTGGCCATTTTGGATATTTAAAGTGACCAAGGGTGCAGCCATTTTGAATGTTTACAAGGGGTGGCCATTTTGGATATTTAAAGTGACCGAGGGCACAGCCATTTTTAATCTTTACAAGTGGTGCCCATTTTGGATTTTAAAGTGGCAGCACTCATTTGGATTCTAGGGACCTAGGAATAGACTCCATTTGTCAAGGGTGGCAGGGACATACGAGACACAGACAACAAGAAAGGAGAGTGAGTGTATAAGTGCTGCCAACTAGCAAATAGAGGAGCACAGCACAGTACCCTCCTTACGTAGCTAACTTACAAACAAAACAAAGAAAGCAAAAATCATGGGCAAGTCACGCCAACATACAATCACCAATTAAATATAAACACAAAAACATCACAATGCCTCAGAGACAACAGAGCATCACAGTCCACACAAAGAAGCAAGATAAAGCAGGAGAAACAAGGGACCAGGATACAGATTCAGTTCACATCCCTGAGGAAGACGCAGCATTGGAACTCCCTGATAAGGAATTTAAAAGAATTATATTTAGGTATCTTCAATGAATTGAGACATCAAGGAAAACACTGACAAAATGGAGGAAAACACAGGAAAAAAAAAAAAGAACAATTTCAAAAGACAATACAAGAACAAAATGACAAAATAAATGAAAAATTAGAAATGAAACAAAATCCAAAGACAAAACTCAAGAAGATTAACTGAATTTTCAGAAATAGATAACACATTGAACAGGCAAAGGAGTAGAACTGAATCCATAGAAGCAGAATTAGTGTGATTGAAGGCAAATACCTCAATATTTCTTTGGAAAGGGATCAATTAGGAAAAAGATCAAAACAAAATGAAGAAACCTTCACATCAAAATAAAAAAGAGGACCAGCACAAGTATTTAGCAAATACAAAAACAATAGTGTGTGAGGCTGTGTTCTCTAGAGAAGTAAAACTAGTAAAGCTTATATATACATATAGAGAAAGAGAAATTTATCTTAGGAAAATGGCACACACACTTTACACAGAAGCTGGCCCAAGTTCTTAGATCAAACGTCAAGCTGGAGGCTTTTCTTCACTCACGCAGCCGCAGGGTCTGACAAGCTCAAGGTTGGCAAGCATTGTACTGGCTGTTGACTCTAACGAATGATGAATCCAAGATCTCCAGGCCAAATGGTGGATTGTTCGCTCACAAACAGTTGTAGGCAGCACAACAGGATCTCCATCCACAGAAGAGTGTCTCTTTTCCCAGGATGTCCATAAATACATTGGAAGGAGGCCACACCCCTGGGGAAACTCCCTTTCAATGGACTGGCTGCTCAAAACATATACATCCAATCCCATCATGGGAATAACCCACATCACAACTGCTTAAACCACTCAGAATTATGGTCCAGCCAAGTTGACACACAGCTCCAACTGTCACAAACAGCAATGAAGGAAGTGATAACATGATTCATAAACAAAACAAGCTCAGCACAGAAAATTACATGGAACAAATAAGTCAGCACCATAAAAAGCAAATAACAAAATGATAGCAACAAATTCATACTTGTCAAAAATTATATATCTGGCAAGGGGCTTATCTCTAAAATTTATAGAAAACTCCAACACCTCAATGATGAAAAGATTAACAATCCAATTAAAAATGGGCAGAAGACATGAATAGACACTTCACCAAAGAGGATTATCAGGCAGCTAGCAAATACATGAAGAAATGCTCACAATTATTAGCCATCAAAGAGGTGCAAATCTAAACAGCAGTTTTGTTCCAGCACTAGTGGCAAAGTTCAACAAGACAGAAAATAAAAAAATGATGTCTCTGACATGGAGCGATTGGGACTCTCATACGCTGCTGGAGGAAATGTAAAATGATCAACCACTGTGGAAAACAGTATGGCAATTCCTTAAAAAACCGAAATTAGAAATACCATTTGACCCAGCAATCCTGTTCTAGGTATATATCCTAAAGAAGTGAGCGCCAGGACAAGAACAGATATATGCACACCCATGTTCATCACAGCACTATTTAAAATAGCAAAAAGATGGATACAATCTATGTGCCCCTTAACAGAAGAATGGATAACCAAACTATGGTACATGCACACAATGGAATACTATGCAACACTAAAGAATAATGTAGAATCTG